ATGGTATGTTCGAATTTAAATACAGGAAGCATATAGTGTTAATAGTTGTATAGCTATTATAGTTATTATAATAATAATAATTTTTTTTTTGACAGATAACTATTCAACCAGAGTTTTTGAACATAACTACCCAACTTGTTCATGTATTGATGCTTTTTATCAAACGAAAAGTTCTATATTCTATTCATGGTATAATGTTATATCATTACAGTCCGGAATTTTTCCATATATAGCAATTCCAAATAAAGTAATGATCTATGCGGTACAGCGATCTAGAATTTATCGGTAAGTCTAAATTTGATTGGATAAAAAAAATATATATAGAAAGAATTTCAAAAATGTCTTATCGTTTCTAGTACTTCGTATATTTTCATTAACGCAATATATATTTTTTTGTTTAGTTAGAATATGAAATCGTTGTATGAGTTTAATACATAACTTTTTAAAATAGCAAATTTGGAATACATCTATTTCGCATTTTGGCCCCGAATAAGGTGTATTCCAAGTGTACCTGGCTGATCCGATCTTGTAAACGTTCAAGTAAGAACATATAGCTACGTGGGTATCATTAAAAACCATTCCAACTGAGTAACATGTGTTAAATCTTGATTTTGCATTTTGCAACTAATACTTAAGTTTATGATTTCAGATCTGTTAGACCAATCCAACTGTTCTGGAAAAATTATATAAAAAAATCTACGATGGCATATTATTCAGGCAAGATATATTAAACCAGTTATGTTAGATGGGTGTATATAGTATTGTCTTTGAAATGTTGTTTAATAGTTACAGACTGTATCATAAAAATTTACTACGTTAGGTCCTTATAACCTTGGATACTATTATCAACACGGAATAGGAATCAAAAAGGATGAATATAAGGCATTCATTAATTATCATAAATTTGCAGAGATGGGGATGCTAATGGAGCAAACAAAGTTGGATATTGTTATTAACAAGGAATTGGAGTTGAAAAGGATGAACAAAAGGCATTCATTTATTATCAAAATCTGCGCAAAGAAGAGCTGATATTTAAAACCTTCAGAGGCGAAACCTCCATTGCACAAAATAATTCTTGATGCAATTAAATCGTTTGGAACTAAATAATATCCGATTTTAAATCTAATAAAAATGAAAAAAAAATTATTGTTTATTAGCTTTGATTATTTATTATAACAATAAAAGTAGCCAAATTTTTTATTTATTTTATAAATTCATTTGATTTTCTAGTTCTACTTCATCTTCAAGTCCATCTTGCTCATTATAAAGGTCTCTAATACTTTGTAAGATCTCTTGTAATTGGCTACGATTTTTTTGCTTTAACCCGCGATACTTTGAACTATCGGGAATATTAACTGAACTTAGCAATGAATTGATAATCGCTAGAAGCTCTTCTTTCGACATATTTGCTTCATCCATGGCGGCTGCTTCTTCTTGAGCAGTAACAGGTATTGGCCGAAGTAAGTGATTTGACTTCCTTTTTTTGAAAGTCTCATCAATAAACCTTCTTCGTCTTTCACATGCTAAATCACTAAAATTTTTTAGCTGTTCGCTAAGTAGGGACTCCTCTCCAAGGCTTCTAAATGTGCGATCATTGCTTTGAGGATTCAAAAACCCAAATTTTCGTAATTGAATTCGAAATCGTTGTGACTCTAGGGTGTAATCTGGACGCGACCGACCTCCTGATGATTCATTATCAGTATGTCCAATCATATCAAATAACATGTGGCGCAACTAATTATAAATTAAAAAAAATTTGCATTGTAGGTATAAACTTTTTATTTAAATGTATAGTTTTCAAATATATTTCATTAACCTTTATAAACTTTATACAATTCCGTGCTGCTATTCTCCAATGTTTTTGTGAAGGTACGGGTGGAATCAAGGCCTTTAAAGATTTATTAACTTCTTCAAGAATAGTATCAAGGCCCTGATGTTGGTTACAATGTCCTGATCGTGAAATAACCGAGAATGATTCTATGCATTTTCTAATTTCAGGATTTAACCGCATCAATTGCTCTTCATAAGTTATCTCAATTAAGCGGTATATAGGATGCCTACGACCAGACCATATCGGAGCAAACATACGTCGAGCAGTACTAATCAACAATTGCTGATTATTTCTAACCCCCGTACGAAAATTGATAATTGCCTGGAGGTAGATAAATGTCTGTAATAATCATTAGCTAAAATTTTTAAATAATATTTTATTTATTTTTTTTTTTTTTATTTGAAATCTTATCTGTTCAAATTTCAGCTTATATTTATGATCATTTTGTTTCTTTGCCCAATCCAAATAGCCATCAGCCGAAGAATTTTCAGTTGTGACTACATATGGCCATAATAATTTACATGTAATCGCATGTCGATAAATGTTGCAGATAGAGTCCCACGATTTGTGATGGTCGACGCATTTTTTGAAATACCTAAGTTGATTTTCAGTTCTGTATCCTTGAAGAATAGCGAATTGCTTGATATCGATTATCCTTAAAAGAATATGTTAATATAAATTAGAGTTATTTGTAATAACAAAAAGAAATAGAGATGGGTTTTATGCGTGCGCATGATTGCAGAATCATGCGCATTTTATCTCATCAAGATTTCTCTCCTCTCGATCGTTTTTTCTTTTTTTTTGCCTTTTTTTATCATGCGATATCATGCGCATGAAACATTTCGTGCGCATTCATGCGCATGTTATTATAAAATGCGCATTTTCCCCATCACTAAAAAGAAATACGTATCCAAAAAACAATAATACCAATTTAGTTCTACAAATGCTTTAAGCATATTCATTTCTTCGTGCAGGGCACCAGGAATTAGTATAAGCCACGGAAAGTTATTTTTAATTTTTTGAACTAGATTGTAAGGAATGCCATCGCAAGTAACCGGTAGCCATTTTCGTGCTCCTTGGTTTATCCCCGTAATACTCTGTATATACTCTAAAACCTTTTTTATATTATTTATTGAATTAGGGTTGCATTCTAATGGATCCGGCACATGCATTTCTGGAACAATAACATTATTATCTGGTTCTGAGCGTTGGGTAATACTAATATGTTTGAAATGAGAGTTTTTTTGTTCGTAAGTATATGAATGGGACTTAATTATGAGAGATTTTGACTGTGGAACTGTATTATTAAGTCGTGCAAGTTCTTTAGCAGATTCCGCTTGTAAAGTAGCTAATGTATCTAATTTTTTATGACAATTAGGGCATATACGTTTTTTATTATCAATGTTGGTTGTATTGCATTCTTTGCACCATTTCGATTGACTCCCGACGCCTTTTTGATTTCCTATACTTTGATTAATAGCATTTATTTCTTGATCTTTTTCAGCTATAAGATCTTTTAAAATCGAAAATAAGTATATTTTTAACTCTAATTCGTATTCTTTTTTCATTTCTGGTGTAAGATAATATAGCTCTTCATATTCTTTATCAGTTAACGAATCATTACGCCAAGGTTCACTTACAAATTGAATTAAGTCATTTTTATTCATATTTAATGCAACAAAACTCGTAACTACATGATAAATAACCGTGTTATATCCGCGATCAAGGTAATTATGTTGACCTC